AGAAACCTGTTATTTGAGAAGTGGATGGCTGATCCTGCTTCCTAGTCTGTCTTAATCTGGGAGCTCTACTAAAAGCTGCCCACCATGGCTAACTTTTGTGGCATTTGACATATCAGTGGCACAGCTTTCGGTATCATAGCAACCCGCAAGTTATTTCAGTACAACAAAAGGACAGTCAAGTGCTCTGCCAATAGAACAATCTTCTCCCCAAACACAACAAACTGACAATTTAGTTTGTAGCTCTAATTGCAAATCAGTCTTTATGTGTCCCTAACCCCAACTTTTACTCACAAGGCCTGCCCGCTAAGACCTAATTGGTTTAAACAAGAGGCTTCCAGCCCACAACTAACTGTTAATGAAATAAAAATGACGAAACAACATACACTTGATTGTTTATTAAGTCAAAATGACCAAATAGCTTACCTCTGATTGTTAATTAAATAAAAATTACCAAACAGATTCCATATAATTGTTAACCAAGTAAAAATGACTTAACCTCCCAGAATCCAACTACTTTAAACAAAAGGCTTTTAGGTTTCAAATGGGGGAAAAAAGGCTTTCAGGCAGGCCTTAACCAACTTTCACTCCCCCACACACAAAGAAATCAGAACGGAGTACGTATTCTTCCTCCATATGTATTCGATCTTTATGCTAAGCAAATTATTTGATAACCTGGCATCAGTATCAGGTGAGAGACTCATCAATAACCTGCATTATGGAGATGACACAACCTTGCTTGCTGAAAGTGAGGAGGATTTGAAACATTTGTTGTATAGAATCAAAGAACACAACCTTCAATATGGGTTGCATCTCAATATCAAGAAAACAGATTCTTACCACTGGACCAATAGGCAACATCATGATAGATATAGAAAAGATTAAAACTGTCAACAATTTCATCTCACTTTGGTCCTAGCATTCAGGAAATCAGGAGATGCATTGCACTGGGATAGCCTTCAGTTAGGGACCTCTCCAAATTATTGAAGAGTAATGATGTCAGTTTAAGGACTAAGGTACATCTGATTCAGGCCATGATTTTTTCAATCTCTTGCTATGCATCTGCGAACGGAATTTATAAGAATGACAAGGAAAGAATTGTATAAGGATTACAGGCAAGAATTGATGCCTTTGAGCTGTGGTATTAGAGAAGAGTGCCGAACATCCCATTAGACTGCCAAAAGAACAAACAAATATGCCTTAGAAAGGGTATAGACAGAGTGCTGTTTGGAGGCAAAGATGATGAGGCCTCACATAATTCAGGCATATTGCTAGGAGCTGCTATTCATTGGAGAGAGACATAATGCTCAGAAAGGTGGTGGGTTGGCAAAGGAGAGAAAGACCCTTGACCAGGTGAATTGACACGATGACTGTCACAATGGGCTATAATGTGTTAGGAGGTACGAGGATGGCACAGGATAGAACACCATTCATATCTGTTGTTCCTGGGGTCGCTATGTGTCATACTCAACTTGACAGCACAAAAACATCCACAACAACAGCCAGAAGTAGTTAGCTGTCCAGTACTTAACCACTGCACCACTATTAACTCAAGAAAATAAAGAAAATTTTTGGTTTTTATAGGCTCGAAGGAAGGAATCTTGATGTTAACCTCAGATATGTGATGAAAGGTCAGCATTTCCCCTCATCATTCATTCTCAATTTAAGCAATGTTTAGTAAGCACTTCCACTGTGAATGCAGGGAAGCTTTGTTGGCGTCTTCCACAGAGAGTTGCACATCTAACCCCAAACCTACACCTCTTGGTGGTCAGACTCCAGCAGGAGAAAGATGAGCAATCTCCTCCTGAGTGATTTACAGCCTCAGAAATCTGCTGAAGAATCAACTCTGATTTGATTCCACTTTCTTTTTTTTTT